GTGGGGAAGCAAGAGCAACTTACGGTGGAATCTGACTCCCTCTCCACCAGCAACCACTAACGGCCTATAGCTCCCCAGGGAGGGGTGAGGCCCTATGGGCCCCTCCTCTGTCCATGATGATGGACTGTTGAGAAGCCCAGTCCTGTGAAGCTAACCACTGCAGCTGTGAAGAGCTCTAACTTTGAGACAGGGTTTCTCTGTTGTACACTTCCTGGAACTCACTATGTAGACCAGGCTAGCCTCAGACTCACAAAGATCCACCGGCCTCTGCTTCCTGAGTGCAGGTCTCGAGTTTCTCAGGTGGGCCAGGATCTGGTTGAACTATTGATCCTCCTACTGCCCCTTCTGGAGTGCCTGTCATTGCCAGCCTGTGTGCCACCACCTGGATGTATGCAGTGCTAGCGACTGAGCCCAGGGCCTCTGCTGTGCTGGGGCCAGCACTCTCCCCACTGAGCTGCATCCCCAAGATGCTTCCTATCCAACCCCAAGCCTCCCATTCCCGTTTTACTCTGCTGTCTCTGAGGGCTCTGCAGGAGAAGGAGCCGGGGCGGCTTACTTCACACTGATCTGTTAATTCTTGTCTTCTCCTGAGGGGTCTGCAGGAATCTAACCCTGATGGGAACTCGGGAAGTGTTTTTACTCACCCATGGATACCAGGCTGCCCACTGACAACAGCACAGATGAATAGTACAGTTCAGGGGTGGTTCTCTCCTGTAAGAGAAGCAAAAACACCATCAGCAACACCTTTGTTGTTTAGCCAGTGGTGTTTGGTTAGAGTTTTGTTTGACTTGTTGTTGTTGTTTGTTTTTCAAGACAGGGTATCACTATGTAACTCTGTCTGTCCTGAAACTCACTCGGTACACCAGGCTGGACAAAAACTAGCAGAGATCCGCCTGCCTCATACTCCCAGAGTGCTGGGATTAAAGGCATGGGCCACCACTGCCCTGCTGTGTTTGGGTTTTGATACAGTGTTTCTGTGTAGCCCAGGCTGACCCAGAACTTGCAATCCTCTATCTCCAAAGTTCTACCATTATGTGCACTTGTGCTACAGTAGTCTTGTAACATTTATTGTCTTCATTTGTTTCGTTTTGTTTTTCTAGACAAGGTTTCTCTGCATTGCTTTGGAGCCTATCCTGGAATTTGCTGTGTAGACCAGGATAGCCTCAAACTCACAGAGATCCGCCTGTCTCTGCCTCCTGAGCACTGGGATTAAAGGCATGCGCCACCAATTTATTGTCTTTAACATTTTCCAAAATATGTTTTTAGGGCCATGGAGATGGCTTAACGGGTGTGGTAGTTTGAATGTAATTGGCCCCCATAATCTCAGGGAGCAGAACTATTAGGAAGCGTGTCTTTGTTGGAGTGGGCATGGCCTTGTTAGAGGAAGTGTATCACTGTGGGGGCGGGCTTTGAGGTTTCCTATGCTCAGGATACTGCCCAGTGTCTCAGTTGACTTCCTGTTGCCTGCAAGACGCAGGACTTCAAGTGCTCCAGCACCACGTCTGCCTGTACATTGCCATGCTCCCCGCCATGATGATAATGGACTGAGCTGAAGCTGTCAGCTGCCACCCCAATTAAATTAAATTATGCCGTGGTCATGGTGTCTCTTGCCAGCAATAGAAAATGCCTCCAAACCTGATGAGCCAGGTCCAATACTGCGTGGCAGAAAGGGAACATCTGCTCTACAGTTGTCCTCTGACCTCCCATGCTTGCCGGGGCATCTGTTTCCAAATGCACATCGTGAACACACACACAATAATGACACACTCTTAAAGAATTTTTAGAAGATAAAATTCTACTAAAGTAGAATGCACCCACAATAAGAAAAATCTCAGGTTGAGTGTGGTGATGCATGCCTTTCATCCCAGCACTCTGGAGGCAGACGTAGGTATATCTCTGAGTTCTAGTCCAGCCAAGGCTACAAAGAGAGACTCTGTCTCAAAAAACAAGCAACAACAAACAAAGCAACAACAACAAGACTACCATCATCACCACCAACAACCAAAATGTCACGTGGGATGTTTTTTGGAACCTGCTGGCCTGGAACCCAGGTCTCATACATGCTAAGCATGTTCTCCACCAATGAGCTACATCTATGCTCTTTTAAAATATAGTTCTTTTTTTGTGCATGTATGTGCAATTCATGTGTGCATGAGGGCGTACCTGAATGTAGAGGCAGGAGGGTAGTCTCCGGTATCATCCTCAGGACTGCTGTGTGCCTTATGCTGTTAAAGACTAGACTGGCAGCCCTTGATTCCCAGGGATCTATCTGCTTGTCTTCGACTCCCCAACATTGGAATCACGTGTGCACCACCACACTGAGCTATGTGTTCTGAGGATCAAATCCAGGTCCTTGCATGTGAGGCAAATGCTTTATCAACTGAGCTCTCCCTCGGCCCCAGGACATTTTTGGACTTTTGTGCTGTGCGTCTGAAGATACCTCTGTCAGTATATTTCTTCCCTGGTAGTCTTCCCTGTCTGTATATTTCTATTTTCTGCATAAGCAGATAGGAAGTATTGGAAAGTGGTAGTTGTCTGCTTGTAGCCAAGCTTTCAGAGACAGATGAGCCTTTAAAATTTCTTAAAAACAAAACAAAGCTGGGTAGTGGTGGTGGCACATGGCTTTAATCATCCCAGCACACAGGAGGCAGAGGCAAGAAGATCGCTGAGTTTGAGGCTAGCCTGGTCTACAGAGCAAGTTTCAGAACAGCCAGGGAGGGCTACATAGAGAAACCTTGACTTGAAAAATCAAAGGGAAAAAAATACCAAAACCAGGACCGGTGAGAGTCACTGGGTAAGTGTTTGCCGCTGAGCCTCAGCCTGAATTGGATCCCTAAAGCCCACATAAAAGAAGAGAACCGGCACTCACAAGTTGTCCTCTGCCTCCCTCCAAATATTGTGGCATGCATGCAATCATCCACATAGATGCATTAATGTTTTAAGAAAGAAAGAAAAACATAGCCAGGCGGTGGTGGCATAAGCCTTTAATCCCAGGACTCGGGAGGCAGAGGCAGGCAGATTTCTGTGAGTTCGAGACCAGCCTGGTCTACAAGAGCTAGTTCCAGGACAGCCTCCAAAGCCACACAGAGAAACCCTGTCTTGAAACACCCCTCCCCCCCCCAAAAAAAAGAAAAGAAAGAAAAACATACACAATCTGGTGCCAAGACTGTTTGAAACACCCCTCCCCCCCCAAAAAAAAAAGAAAAGAAAGAAAAACATACACAATCTGGTGCCAAGACTGTTAACAGCATGGTGCACACTCCTTCACCAAAAGACCCTACACCAAACACAGCGAACGTTGCTCTCAGAGCCTGGGGGGCTGGCTCCATCTGAGTGAGCAGTACGATGAGACCTGGAAGGACAGGATGGCAGTGCTATTAGGTTTCATTGGCTCAGAGGCACGCTCTTTTTCCTTGTTTTGTTTTGTATCATGGAACAGGCTCTTACTATTGTAGCTCAGGCTAGCCTCAAGCTCACAGTCTTCTTGCCTCCATCTTCAGAGTGTTGGGATTACAGGTGTGTACCACCGTGTCCAGCCTCAGAAACATCATCTCTTGTTCAACATGGTTTATTTTCGTATTTATTAAGAAGAGAGAGGTCAATCAAAATTGGGATCTGTGTGTGGACACAAGTACCACTGGGTATGTGTGGCAGAAGGTCAGAAGACAACTGTGGAGTCTCTTCTCTCCTTCTGCCTTTCACTTGGAATCTGGAATAGAACTCCAGTTGCCAGGCCTGCCCAGCAAGCACCTTTACCTGCTGAGCCAGCTTGCTGGCCCAACACTACTTACTGAATGAATAACTAAATCCAGAACTTTAGTATAACTATATAAACTGTTACAGGTCAGGCATGGTGGCCCATGTCTGTAATCCCAGCACTGAAGGCTGAGGGGCAGGAAGATTACCATGACTTTGAGGCTAGCTGGAATACACAGTGAATTCAAGACCATCCATCGCAAGAAACGGCCCACCCCACCCACTCCAGAAGAAAGAATGAGGAGGGGAAGAAAGGAGAAAAATGTGATTTATTTTACTAGATTTGGCCTTAGTTTCACATTCTGATTGTAGGATAACTATAAGGGTTGCTACCTAAGAAATTTAAAAGATTCTCTTCATTTAACATTTGGTTTTATTTTTAAAGATGGTGGCAAACCCAGGGCATCACACGTGCTAGGTGAACATTCTACCATTAATCTGCAACCCAGCCAACCATCAGGAGTTTTCAATGTGGTTTTTCTTGTGCGCCAGTCTGTGAACATCTGTAGAGCAGAAACCTCTTAGCCGCTTTTGTGCCCACAACCTGTATCTGTCAGATAATAGACACCTGCTGGGTACTTACGGACAGCTCCACACCTACCGAGGGTGAAGAAGGTGAGGACGATATTGCTAGTCAAGTTGGCCAGGAGAGGCTGACTGCAGTGCCTCGAGGATCTGGGCCTGGAAAGCAATTCACAGGCTGGTGCCCTTCATCCACCACCCACTACACAGTCCTGTGTCTGAGGTACATCAGCCCCCTTCATGCCCCAGCTCTAACAATGGCTTCAAAACTAGGAAATAATGCTAGTTATAAGGTCCTAATCCTTATTTGATGGTTTGGTAAAAATACTTTGTAGAAATTCTGACCTTTGGGAGTAAAGAACTGTGCTGTGTGGGTACAAGCCTCCTGTGGTGGACTTGCATTGTGGAATTATCACCAGCTCACACCTTCTCTTTGTATCCTCATCAAGTCAGTTTTCTGATTTTTGTAGAACTTCCACATCTTTAAGATTGTAATTCTTTGATGACTGTTCCTCCTATTGCCTCTAGGCATGGCACTAGGATTTTAGGTCATCATAAATTAAAATTGGTTTTTTTCACTCAGAGAATATCAAGGTAATGGGATTATCTGTATATTCTCTGAAATTTGTGGGATCAAACAATTACAAAAAACAAAACACACACACACACAAATATTGTGACTCTTTATATTAAGTAAGTGGATTGTGCTTGCTTTGCTTCTCCAGTGAGGGTTATTAGTGAATGGTCTCTAGCCTCCACCATTGTTAGAGGACGGTCTCTAGCCTCCACCATTGTTAGAGGACGGTCTCTAGCCTCAACCGTTGTTAGAGGACGGTCTCTAGCCTCCACTGTTGTTAGTGGATGGTCTCTAGCCTCCACTGTTGTTAGCGGATAGTCTCTAGCCTTCACCGTTGTTAGTGGGCAGTCTCTAGCCTCCCCTGTTGTTAGAGACGGTCTCTAGTTTCCATGACTAAGCACTAGCACTGAATCTGAATTGAACATCAGTTCAGAATCCAGTTGGTTGACTACTCAATTCTGCCCTCAGCTCTGCAGACATTAGCTGACGCTTAGGCCCTTGGGACTGTCCTCCCATGATGGAGACATTGGTGTCTTCACTGTCTCCCATTTAATGGCCTCTTACACTGGAAGTAAATATTGGTTAAAAGTTAATCCTAATCTGTCCAAATCTCTGCAACCTTCTCTTTACTGAGATTTTCAAGAATGCAAAGAGGTGGACTGGATGGCCACCAATAATAGGAGCAGAAACAATGGGGCAGGCAGCAGTTAATTGAGTAACAGGAATCTCAGGGAGCCCCCGCCCCAAACCCACAGGTAAGGCCTGTGAGACTCACCGCAGCAGCACATAGAACTGGAGCGTCAGGGTGCCGATCCCAAACAGGAACACCATCACCTGGCTGCACGGCACAGGGATACCTTATGACTTCACGGAACCACACTCAAGGTGTGTTTCACACTGATTAAATCACAGAGAGTTTTTTCACCCAGGCAGAAGAGAATTGCCATGCACTCCCCTGGCACTGCACCCTCCAATGAAACGTACCTGTTAACACCTAAGTGAAAAGCTACCAGCTGCCAGTATTCAGCTCTCTGGGAAATCTGTAGGATTGGATTCCTTTACCGTAATTAAGTTAATGTTAGGAAACAACACACAAGTAGTAGGAAGTATTAATTCAAAGTAAGCATAAATAGAAAAAAACTATAAAATGATTATTTGAATTGGATAAATATATTGAATATCTTATATGCATTATCTTATTTGATATTCACAAAGTTCGCCGGGCGTTGTGGAGCATGCCTTTAATCCCAGCACTCGGGAGGCAGAGGCAGGCGGATGTGAGTTCCAGGCCAGCCTGGTGTCCAGAGTGCCAGGATAGGCTCCAAAGCTACACAGAGAAACCCTGTCTCGAAAAACCAAATATCTATATATTTATTCACAAAGTTCTATAAAATAAGGACTATGTGCGCGCGCGCATGCGCGCGCGCGCGCGCGCGCACACACACACACACACACACACAACACACACACACACACACACCGCCCTGCCCTTTTCTTTTTTTATAGTAGGGTCTCACTAATTATTCATGGCTGGCCAGAAACTCCCAGTATAGACCAGGCTGGCCTTGAACTCACAGAAATCTGCCTGCTTCTGCCTTCTGTGTGTTGGGATTAAAGACAAGCACCATGGGGCTGGAGAGATGGCTCAGCGGTTAAGAGCACTGGCTGCTCTTTCAGAGGACACAGGTTCAATTCCCAGCACCCACATGGCAGCTCACAGCTGTCTGTTACTTCAGTTTCAGGGGATCTAACACCTTCACACCAATACACATAAAATAAAGTTAAATAAACTATTTTTTAAAAAAAGAAAGACAAGCACCATCACCCACCACAAGAGCCAGTGCACACACACACTTTTATTATTATTTTTTTAAGACTAAATCTTACTATGTTTCCCAGGTTCTGCTTGGACTCCTGGGCTAAAGCAATCCTCCTGCTTCAGCTTGCCTAGCCCTGGGACTAGAGGTACATGTCACTAAGACTTGGGTCCCATTTTAAAAATGCAGAAACCAGGGTTCAAGGACAAACAGCAGCAGTAAGTGAAACAGCTAGGATTCTCGCCCACACCCCTGGCAGCCTTGCCTGCTGTCAGGAGCCATACCAGAATCACTGTTGACTGCTGCAAATGTTAATCATTAAATAATAGTCCGCCTCCTCCCGCATTAGCTGTTTTTTTATTAATAGGGGTGAGGCCCAAAGGACTTCAGGGTGTTCATAGAAAATGGTTGTTGATACCTTCCAAATCTACACTATGTATAACAGCTGCAACAGCTTCAGAACAAGGTGAGGGGTCAGGCTGAAAGTTACAACAGCGCGTCCTTTCAGAGGGTGGTGGTGAGAGGCGGTCTGGCCAGGCAGGTCGTTTAACTGTGGGCCAGCATGGCTTTAGACTGAGCATCCGGAAATGGGACAAGGAGAGCCAGCAGAGTCACAGTGGTCTTTGAAACAGTGGTAGCTGTGAGTTAATGCTTCCATCATGATATCTTTAAAACTCAAAAGATGGGTGATTTAGAAGTAAATTTTAGTTGGATCTGAAGACTGCCCCAGGAAGCAATGAACCTTTGACACAGTGTGCTGGGGAGGAACACTTACAGCCTGAGCCGATGGGACCTCGGCAGCCAGCAGTGCAGGTGATAGGCTGTGTGGACCAAACAAAAGTGAATCATGGCGACACTGGTCCGGCAGCATTCAGAACAGTTCTGTCTGAGACTCCACACCCAATGTTACCGCCATGTTGGACAGGTCACGATGTAGGAGCTCACTGTAACTTAACCCTCTGTGGCTTGGAGAGTCTAGCTAAGGTGGCTGAGTTGGTAAAGCCGGGATGGATATATGAGACAGGTCACCAATGTGATAAAGGACAAAGACTGCCTCCTGTACTCTGAGGGATCAGCTTCCACCAGCCTCCTCATTCTCCAGGGGAAGGAAACCTGAGGTCCTCCTAGAGCACTGGGGCTGGGAGCATTTTGATTCATCTCGGTTTCTAGAGCCCAGGCGACCCCTTGACTCCCTCCACCCCATGTAGTCAGCCTTCCTTCCACTCTGCTCTCCTTTGGGCATGGTGTCTAGAACATGTCTTGGGCGTGCCCAGGGCTAGTATATACTCCAGTTCCCTAGGCCACAGTTCTATGAAGATGCTGCCTTTTTTTGAGACAGAGTCTCCTGTATCCCAGGCTGTCCTTGAACTTCTGTATGTGTACACGTGGAAGCCAGCATCAGTATCTGGTGTCATCCTCAATAGCTGCTCAGTTTACCTTTTGAAATAGGTCTCACACAAAACTTAGAGCCTGTTGATTGAACTACACTGGCTGGCTCTGTTTCTCCAGGGCTGGGGTTAGAGGTGTGTACTGCCAACCCAGTGCACACCCGTGTGTGAGTTCGTGCATGTGTGTGAGTGGGTGCGTGTGCTTATGCATGAGAGAGAGAGAGAGAGAGAGAGAGAGAGAGAGAGAGAGAGAGAGAGTGTGTGCTTGTTTTTTCAAGAGCTTTATAAATTACCTTTTTTTTTCTATGCAGGCAATTGAACACCTCATAAATGTTAGGCAAGTGTTCTGTTACTTAGCTATGTCCTTGTAGCTGGAATTTCTTTCCAGCCTAGTCCCACAGCCCCAAATAAGCACACAGAGATGTATTAATTATAAACTGTTTGGCCAATGGCTCAGACTTCTTATTTGCTAGCTCTCTGTTATTAACCCATTTCTATTCATCTAAGTATTTCCACGTGGTTTTATTTTACCAGAGAAGGGTCCAGACCTGTTACTCCTTCCTTGGCTACATGGTGCCTCCTTGCGGCCTCTGTCTGCCTCCTCTTCCCCAGCATTCTCCTTGTCTGGTAGCCCCACCTATACTTCCTGCCTGGCTACTGGCCAATCAGTGTTTTATTCATCAACCAATAAGATAAACATATATACAGAAAGACATCCCCATCAGATCCCCAGCCCTGTGAATTACTTTAATAAAATTATAAAACCCGAAGTGACATCCATCAGTAAATATTCATTTCTCCTTGTGACTCAGGACCACCTGAGGGTTTGCTGACCATGTGCCTCTGGTATTTCCTGGGTCTGTTGTGGGAATGAGCATCTTGGCTGTGGCTTAGCCGGCCTCTGATGGCTGCAATCACCAGCCCTGGGGTGGCTGGGATACAGCTGTCATACCACAGCAATCTAGCATGGTAGATCCTCTGAGATGGTTTAGGTGTTGTCTGAGTATTTCTTCAGAAGTCCACATGCTGAAAGCTTGGTGTCCAGTGTGGCTGAGGTCGTTCCTTCCAGAGAGGTGCCTAGCAGAAGGCAAGTCATGAGGGTGAAGTGGTTTTCAGAAGAACAGGTTTTTGTTTAGTTTTTTTGGTTGGTTGGTATTTCTTTTGAGACAGGGTATCTATGTGTAGTTGTGACTGTCTTAGGATTTGCTCTGTAAATCAGGCAACCTCAGAGATCCACCTGCCTTTGCCTCCCGAGTGCTGGGATTAGAGGTGTGTGCCACCACCTCTCGGCCTAATTATTCTTAATAATAAAAACTCTTGAGCCCGGCAGTGGTGGCTCACACCTTTGATCCCAGCACTCGGGAGGCAGGAGCAGATGGATCTCTGTGAGTTGAGGCCAGTCTGGACTACAGATCAAGTTCCAGGACAGCCAAGGCTATTACACAGAGAAATAATATCTCAAAAAAACAAGAAAAAACAACAACAAAAAACAACTTGGAGTCAGCTTTCGGGGGTGAAAGCTGAAAGATCAGAGAAGCAGAGCGGCCAACCACTAGAGAGTTCTTACCACTACCAGTGCTCAGACCAAAAGGGCAATCCTGTCTCTACAAATGCTCAGATTGCCCAAACTCCTGTCTCCTCCTGCCTTATATTCCTCTCTCTGCCCAGCCATATTGCTCCTAGTTCTACCTCCTTAGTGCTAGGATTAAAGAAGTGTCACTCCTAGTGCTGAGATCACCTTTGTATGAGTTCTGTTTCTCTTTTAGGCAAATTCAGTGTCGTGTAGCCCAGGGTGGCCTTGAACTCACAGAGATCTGTCTGCCTCTGTCTCCCCGAGTGCTGGGATTAAAGGTATGTGCCACCACACCTGGCCCCTATGGCTAACTCGTGGTTTAGCTCTGCACTCTGATCTTCAGGCAATCTTTATTTTTTATAGCCGAAATAAAATATCACCTCAGGACTGGTTCACTTTCTCTTTTTCCACCATGCTGTGATGCAGCCAGGATACTGATGCTAATTTCTTAGGCCTTTAGAATCTCTTTTCTTTAAAATGTACCCAGCCTTAGCCAGTCATGGTAGCATACATGTAATCCCAGCACTTGGAATGTGAAGGCAAGAGGATCAGAAGTTCAAAGGTATCCTTCACTACATACCACTTTTAGGCCAACCTGGGCTATGGAGCCTTGTCACTGTCTCCCCCTGTGTCCCTCTCCCACACGCTGGAATTAGAGACATGCTAGCCTCTAGCGTGTTGTTATATGTTACTATAACACCAGAAAACTCTGTGACTATAATTTCTTCCAAGTGCTAGGCTCAGAACTAATATGCTATCCTTTCAGCCATAATCATTTGAGCAAAGTGAATCATAAGGAATAGAGACTTATATCCCATTCCACTTGGTAGGAACTGCACACACATAAGCAAAGGCTGAAAGCGAAGCCAGTTTTGCAGTTCATCTCAGTCAGTGAAGCCAAGTATTTTGCCCACCTGTTTGCAGGGAGAACATGGGCAGATGTCAAGAGAATTACAAATGAGCTTGTTTCCTTTTTCCTCTGCAGACAGCAGTGGAGTCAGAGGTTTCCATTTAGATCACCAACTCCAGCTTCTCCCCATGGACACATCCGAGAAAACAGAAGTGGTTCTCCTGGCCTGTGGTTCTTTTAACCCCATCACCAACATGCACCTCAGGCTGTTTGAGCTGGGCAAGGACTACATGAATGCAACAGGTAGGAGCAGTAACCCAGGTAACTTAGGGCTAGAGACAAAGCTGGGCAGTGGTGATGGTGCACGCCTTTAACACTAGCACTCAGGAGGCAAAGGCAGGTGGATCTCTGAGAGCTGAAGCCAGACTGGTCTACAGAGCAAGTTCTAGGACAGCCAGGGCTACAACAGAGAAACCCTGCCTTCAAAATACAAAAAACAAATGAAACAAAACAAAACAAAAAAAGACTAGAGATGCACTTGACTGAGTGTGAACGCCTTATTCTGGACACAAGCAAGTTGTTCTGTTTCCTGGTATAGAGATTTAGCCAAAAGCTAATGGAGCCAGTAAGGTGGCTCCTCAGGGAAAAGTGCTTGTTGCAAAGTATGTGGCAAGAAGGTACAACTAAAGCTGGGTGTGGTGTTGCTTGTCCTTAATCTCTGTGAGTTCCATACCAGCGTGGTCTGCATAGCAAGTTCCTGGACAGCCAGGACTACACAGAGAGACCCTGTCTCAGGGGAAGAAAGAGAAAGAGAAAGAGGAGGTGTGCATGGATCAGAAGATGGCGGGGCTGAGCAGACACTGTCAGGGGAGTGCTTGATTGGTGTTGTCAAGCCCCTAGGTGAGGAAGGACAATCCCTGCATCTGTTCTAGGTGAACAATGCAAATTGAGTCAGGCTCTTAACAAAGAATTCAGCACTTCTGGTTGGAATTCTGACCAACAAGAATTTTAAGTGTAAGCTGTGTGGGTGAACCCAGAGTGAGTGTGTTAGGGGTGTAGGGCTTTAGTTGGAGAAGGTGAAATTTGTGAAGGTTGTTAACAGTGTGCATGTGCTCAACATTTAGGATTGTACAGTTAAAATACTTCAAATGATAACTTTTGTAATATGTTATTACAGGTTCTTTTCTACATTAAAAACTCTATTTACTTACATGGGGTCAGTGCGGTATTGTGTGTGACAGGGTGTGGATGAGGAGGAGGTCAGTTGGAGAAGTCTGGTCTCTCCTTTCACCATGAGTGTCCTGAGGATTGAACTCTGATCATCAGTCTGACAGCACACTCCTTTATCAATGGAGCCGTCTTGCCAAACCCTTACCACAGTTTCAATTTAGCTACTAAATTTGACTCTTTGTTTAAAAAGGAGGAGTGGCTGGGGGGGGGTGGCACATGCCTTTAATCCCAGCACTCAGGAGGTAGAGACAGGCGGATCTCTGTGAGTTCGAGACCAGCTTGGTCTATAAGAGCTAGTTCCAGGACAGCCTTCAAAGACACAGAGAAACCTTGTCTCGAAAAACCAAAAAAAAAAAAAAAAAAAAAAAAAAAAGGGGAGGGGGGGGAATTGTAACTAGGAGCTAATAAATTGTTATAATTTCTGCCCATAAAATCTGATTTGTTATCCCTCATATCAACCCAACTGTGTATCCAGGAAAATACAGGGTTATCAAAGGCATAATTTCTCCTGTTGGCGATGCGTACAAGAAGAAAGGGCTCATCCCTGCCCACCACCGAATCATCATGGCAGAACTTGCCACCAAGAACTCGCACTGGCTGGAAGTGGACACATGGGAAAGTCTCCAGAAGGAGTGGGTGGAGACTGTGAAGGTGCTCAGGTAACAGTGGCACAGTCTATACTGTTGGTTCTAGGGATCCTTCCCATTGCCATGTATTTTTTTCAGTTCCGCCTGCTCTGATTGACAGGTCTGTATCAGTTAGTGTCCTGTTGCTGTGAAGAGAAGCCATGACCAATGCTTATGAAAGAAAGCATTTACCTGGGGGCTGGTGTACAGTTTCAGAGGCTTAGTCCATTATCATCCCGACAGGGAGCCCCGTGGCACATAGTGTGCCCGACCTGAAGGAACAGTAGCTGAGAGCTTGGTCTGATTAGCAGACCAAGAGAGGCACCCAGGCCTTGGCATAGGCCTTTGAAATATTAGAGCCCACTCCCCAGAGGCACACTTCCTCTCCAAAGGCCACACCTTCTAACCATTCTAATCCTTTCAAATAGTGCCAGTCCCTAGTGACTAAGCATTTGGATATATGAGCCTGTGGGGGCCACTCTTACTCAAACCACCACAGAGGGCTGCACCTTCCTGCACCACAGGCTGTTGAGCACAGCAGCAGAGCTCAGACACACCTGAGCCCATGTGTCTTTCAGCATGAGGTGAGATGTTGACAAGGTTGTTCGTCAGACATGTCTCTGTCAGAAAATAAAGGAAGCAAACCTGGCCTTCCTGTCTGATGGGAGAAAGACAGAGTTCCTCAAGGATAGTGCAGTCATCTGTCTTTTTCTTTTTTTTTTTTTTAAGGGGGGGGTGCATGGAGACAGGGTTTCTCTGTGTAGCTTTGGAGCCTGTCATGAAACTCACTCTGCAGACCAGGCTGGCCTTGAACTCACAGAGATCCGCCTGCCTCTGCCTCCTGAGCTCTGGGACTAAAGGTGCCTCTGTCTAGTCATCAGTCTTCTTAGGGGTGGGAGAGGGAAGGGCATGGCTTCCAGGGGAGGTTAGAGCATGGGCCTAACCTAAAAGTCAGTGAGCCTTTCAAAAGGCCAGGGCCAGCCCAGAGAGATGAAGTCAGACTCCCTGCAGTCTGAGATGTGACTTGACAGTTCTCACCTTCTGAGCTCTTTGTCACTGTGTTAAATTAAACCAGATGATGTGAAAATTCCTGCCAGCCCACTCCCAAACTTAGAAATGTCTGAGCTTTTCTTTGTTTTGGGGATTTGCTCAGGGAAGTGCACTGAATGTTCTAAAGAGGTTCCCCTGGCCCACTCTCCTCTCTCAGTCTCTCTCTCTCTCTCTCTGGTTTTTTGAGACACGGTTTCTCTATATTAACAACCCTGGCTGTTCTGGAACTTGCTCTGTAAAACAAACTGGCCTTGAACTCACAGAGATCCACCTGCCTCTGCCTCCCAAGCTCTGGGAATTAAGGCATGCGCTGCTACTGCCCGGCCTTATCATATTTAATAAGGAGTGTCAGACAGGCTCCAGCCCAACCTGTGGTGCTTTCAGGAGCCCTCAGGAGGCTCTCCATATGTCTGTGTGTAGACTTTTGAAAACAGTGAAGGAAGCAATGTCTGACCATCTCTTTATAGTCCTGAGAGTGAATGAAGGGGCTTTCTGAAAAACCCTTTGTCTAATGCCTGTTCTTAGGATTCTCAGTCCTCCAGACTGGCTGAATAATGAAGGGATCAGAGTAGAACACGGAGGCCACTCTGGGCACTTTGAGTGCAGTGTGCTTGGATATGAGGTCCACGTGTTAAAGAGACCAGAGACATCAGAGTGGCTTTTTCCAGTCAGAGCAGGACCTGATCTGCTCCCACTGCCCTCTGCGACTGTTGAGATGACAGACAGAAGGCACTAGGCCCTGAGCTGTGGGTCATGGAGGATGCTGCAGTGTGACAGTGGCTTACAGGACTCTCCGATGGTCTTATCCACAGGATCTCAGCAACACTGGAAGTTTCCATGAGGAACTCTGGCTACTGTTAGGGTAGGACAGGACATTGAGCCAGAAGGTGGCAGCTACCTGGATGTATCAGAACTCTTTTTAGGTTTAACCGGAAAATGGTCTCCCTGCTGATGGTAAAACTAACTGGGAGGCCATGGTCTTTTTCAGCTCCAGTTGCCCTCTCTGGCCCCATGGTATCTTGGATCTCTCTGGCCCCATGGTAACTTGTATCTCCATGGTACCTTGTATCTCTCTGGCCCCATGGTACCTTGTATCTCTCTGGCCCCATGGTACCTTGTATCTCTCTGGCCCCATGGTACCTTGTATCTCTCTGGCCCCATGGTACCTTGTATCTCTCTGGCCCCATGGTACCTTGTATCTCTCTGGCCCCATGGTACCTTGTATCTCTCTGGCCCCATGGTACCTTGGATCTCTCTGGCCCCATGGTAACTTGTATCTATCTGGCCCCATGGTAACTTGTATCTCTCTGGCCCCATGGTACCTTGGATCTCTCTGGCCACATGGTAATTTGTATCTCTCTGGGCCCATGGTACCTTGGATCTCTCTGGCCCCATGGTAGCTTGGATCTCTCTGGCCCCATGGTAGCTTGGATCTCTCTGGCCCCATGGTAGCTTGGATCTCTTTCACATTCAGTGTGGCTGTTCATTGGGGGAAGGCTTTAAGGGCATGAAGGGCAGTCCCGCCTCCTGTTGGGTCTAAAGGTGAGGTCTGTATTGCTGGCGTAGCTTTGCTTTGCACTGATGTGAGGTCGTGCAACTCTGCTGCCAGCCCCAACCCCTGGAGTACTGCTTTCCTCATGCACTTCCCCTCCCGGTCCATGTGATTCTTCATTCCAAGATCAGGCCATGGTCTTTAGTGGTCACGGGGGGGGGGGGGGGGGGGGTGTCCTGGACCAGACAACTAGACCCAAATCCCAGTTCTGATAAACATAAGCTAAACCATGGGCAGTTGAATCAGCTCTGCCGTCGGTGGGGCTGACAGACACCCAATAGAGGTAGACAGTAAATAGTGACTGTTCTCTGTCAGTTGATGAATGTCAGGAGCTCTGCTCCAGGTGGACCTGCAACCCTTTTGTTGTTCTGTTTGTTTTTTTGAGACAGGGTTACTTTGTGTAGCCCTGGCTGTCCTGGAATTTTCTCTGTAGACTAGCCTGACCTCAAACTCCCAAAGATTCACCTGCCTCTGCCTCCTGAGTGCTGTGTTTAAAGGTAAAAGCCACTTCTGCCTGGCCTTGAACATGCAACTCTTTAAGTCTCCATTTTCTTCTTCATTGCAAGGCCAGTACTTCTCATAACATGAGAGGTTGAGAAGATTGGGTCAGATAGTTGTGGAAAGGAATAAATAATTACTATTAACTCTGACTGCTGCAACATGCATAACACACACAAGAATATTTCAGAGAACCAAGCGGTTGTGGCGCAAACCTTTAATCCCAGCACTTGGGAGGCAGAGGCAGGTGGATCTCTGTGAGTTTGAGACCAGCCTGGTCTCCAGATCGAGTCCCAGGATAGGCTCCAAAGCTACACAGAGAAACCCTGTCTCGGACCCTGCTCCCCCACCCCCAAAAAAATAATGCTTCAGAGAGCAATATGACATCAAAGAATGTTCTTTTTTAAATTTTATCTTTTTATTTAAGGTACATTGGCATTTTGTGTACATGTATGTCTGTGTGAGAGTGTCAGAGCACTTGGAACTGGACAATTGTGAGCTGCTATATGGTTGCTGGGAATTGAACCTGGGTCCTCTGGAAGAACAGCCAGTGCTCTTAACCACTGGGCCATCTCTCCAGCCCCCAGGGAACATTCTTTTGTTTTGTCATTTTGTAGACACCATCAGGAGAAGCTGGCAACTGACAGTTGTGATCACCCACAACGCTCACTCTTGATGGACAGGCCCGGGCGGAAGAGGAAGTGGGATGAACAAAAGCAGGACTCCAGCCCAAAGAAACCCCAAGAGCCCAAGTCAACAGGTTTGTGATGTTCAACCAGGATGCAGAGGTTGCTCAGGCTCTACATTTGAGACCCCTTTGGTACTTGTATTTCTTCTTCCACACCTGCTGGGTTCCCGATGACTGAAGGGAGGATGGAATGGTTCTGGGGTAAAAGACAGCAGATCTGCTTCCTTGCACACACAGTCACTTTCATATGGGTGACTTTTTTTTTTTTTTTTTTCCTTTTTCGAGACAGGGTTTCTCTGTAGCTTTGAAGCCTGTCCTGGAACTAGTTCTTGTAGACCAGGCTGGTCTCGAACTCACAGAGATCCTCCTGCCTCTGCCTCCCGAGTGCTGGGATTAAAGGCATGTGCCACCACTGCCTTTCGGGAGGCAGAGGCAGGGGGAACTCTGTGAGTTCAAGACCAGCCTGGTCTACAGAGCTAGTTCCAGGACAGCCAGGGATGTTACACAGAGAAACCCTGTCTTGAAAAAAAGAAAACAAACCCTGAAGCTCTGTTTGGTCCTTCCTTCAAGGTGTGCCCAGGGTGAAATTGCTGTGTGGAGCAGATTTACTGGAGTCCTTCAATGTGCCCAACCTGTGGAAGACTGAGGACATCACCCAAATCGTGGCCAACTACGGGCTCATATGTATCACTCGAGCTGGCAGTGATGCTCAGAAATTTATCTACGAGTCTGACGTGCTATGGAGGCATCAGAGCAACATCCACCTGGTGGATGAATGGATCACCAATGACATCTCCTCCACCAAGATCCGGAGAGCTCTCAGAAGGGGCCAGAGCATCCGCTACTTGGTCCCCGACCTTGTCCAAGAGTACATTGAAAAGCATGATCTGTACAACTCCGAGAGTGAAGACAGGAATGTTGGAGTCATTCTGGCGCCTCTACAGAGGAACATCTCTGAGGCCAAGCACAGCAATCCCACAGCGTGATGCATATGCATCAGATGCTCTATGGAGATTCAAAACAACCGGTGTTAATCACTCAGGGAAGGAGTTGTCATCCTGTTTCATAAACTGAAGTTTAAAGGTTTGATTAAAAACCAACAGGAAATTAAGATCACTTGCTAAATGAATGTTTTAAATAAGGCATTTTTAAAAAATCAGAATAATTCCTTTTTAAAATAACAGCTCATTCACTACAATGAAATTTCAGTGATGCATACTCTAAGTTTTTCAAGAACAGACACCATGACTACCCCACAAGAGAGGTGTGAAAGCAAATCCACCCAAAAGCTTCTCTTTAGGGGCTGGAGAGACGGCTCTTCCAGGGGACCCGGGTTCAGTTCCCAGCACCCACATAGCAGCTCTCAACTGTCTGTGACTCCAGTTTCAGGGTGCTTGATGCACTCTCTGGCCTCTGGGCTCCAGGCACACACATGCTGCACAGACATACATGCCGGAAAACACCCACACACAGAAAGAAGGAAGGAAAGTCTCACTTCAGCCAGATCAGTGATGTGCGCCTGTAACCCAAGCTGCTCCAGGAGCTGAGGTAGCAGAATCACTTTGAACCCAGTTAGAGATGACACTAGACACCATAGACTCTTCCTAAGAAACAAATAAAACAAAATCCTAACTTAAGTTATGCAGAGAACTGATGACACCATTTGTGCTTGGTGCCAGCTACCTTTATCCAGGATAGACCGAGGAAGGAATTGTTTAAGTCATGACCTTGGCTGGGGATGTAGCTCAGTTGGTGGGGCACTGGTCCAGCAGGCCTGAGGCCCTACGTTAAATTACCAGGACCACATAACGGGGCACGGCGGTGCCCACCTGCGGTCCAGGTACTTGGAGGATGGAAGCAGAAGGATCAAAATTTCAACATCATCCCTGACAAACAGCAAGTTTGAGACCATCAAGGGATACTGGAGACCCTGTCTCTAAATAAACAAACAAGTGGCCCTGTAAAACACACTGGTGACCAGTGGTCCCCCAGCTTTGCAAAATGAAGGCTGTGAGTCACCTGCAAGAAGTCAGAATGCACCTCAGTTCTCCACATCAGAACGGCTCATTAAAGGGATGGTGAGACGGTGCAGTGGACCTACTGCCAAGTCTTACAACCTGAGTTCAAGCCCCGGGACCCACAAAGTAGCAAGAGAGAACCCATTCCCAAAAGGTAGCTGACCTCCACATGAGATAAATAAAAAGAAAAGCTGGCTAAGCTTTGTCCAGATGTAGCTGCTTGAAACCCACGTCTGGGGGCAGGGGATGGGGCCAGGCTCTGCTGTGTTTTCTTAGCAAAGCTTTGTTGCTGACCCATCGTCATCTTTTTAACTTCATTTTTTTCAAGACAGGGTTTCTCTGTGTAGCCCTGACTGTCCTGGAACTTACTTTGTAGGCCAGGCAGGCCGTGAACTCACAGAGATCCACCTGCCTCTGCCTCCTGAGTGCTGGCATTAAAGGCGTGCGCCACCACCGTCCCCTTCACCCTTATTTATGTTTTTATAATGAAGGATGAGCGAAGCACTCAAGAACATGAGGGGTGGACTGGGTCAGCCCCAGCTGCTCTTCCTGCTGTGACCTTGGAGCCAGTGCTCTTTTGTGGAAGAAAGCTCCATGCTCCATCTGAAACGGTAAAGTTTCTAAAGACCTGTGGTCTCTTTGCCATGTGAATCTGCATCTCCTGAACCTATGCAGAGAAAGGGTCTGCTGCCTCACACTTTTTCTGGTTCTGTTTCTCTGACCTAATAACTGAAACCATAGCCTTTTGTTAAAACACAAAGTTGTTATGCAATTTGTTACTGATTGAACTTTTACAAGAATTTGCCACCCACTTTTTTTTTTTTTTTTTCCAGTTAGGATCTTTTTCTGGAAAACATACAGTCAGTGCCTGGTCAGGTCATCCCTGAATTGTGTGTACAGCAGGGTGGGGATGATGGGGACCAAGGACCGTGGGCCAGTGTCCACTGGGGTCCTCATTCCCCAGGGCCAGCCCTCCATACCCTGCGCTACAGTTGGCAGGACAGAAATGGCTCCCACCAGCAGCCTGAATGTAGTGTGCATGGTACCCCCCAGAAATCTGCCCTCCCGGCTTCCACCATCTTTAGGGGGGTTCTGGAATGATCCCTGGAGGTCTTTCCCAAGTCAAATCAATGTGAGAATTTAATGGAGAAGCAGCTAGTGTGGCAAACACCACATGGTAAAAAAGGCTCAACTTAAGCCAGGCGTTGGTGGCGCACGGCTTTAATCCCAGCACTCGGGAGGCAGAGGCAGGTGGATCTCTGTGAGTTCGAGACCAGCCTGGTCTACAAGAGCTAGTCCCAGGACAGCTTCCAAAGCCACAGAGAAACCCGGTGTCGAAAAACAAAACAAAACAAAGGCTCACCTTGGTTCCTACCAGCCAACACCCAGGGTATCTCTGACTCAGCATCTTTGGGAATCTCACTAGGTGTCTGGGACACATATAATGTTCCTGTTTCTAGCAGCCACCAGAGGAGGGGGTAGTGCTGGGTCACTGTGGTCAGGGAGTCCACCAGCAGGACCTTCCCCAGTTTCTGCATGGAGGCTGTCACATGCATTGTTAAAAAAAAAAAAAAAAAAGGTCAGGGATAGCCTTTTATGGGATATAGACCAGAGACAACTGTTTATGTTTTATGAAAATGGTCTTGCACTCAGTACAGGGGTAAAGTCAAGCTCCTGAACTGGACATGGTGACACACACTCATAATCTCAGCACTCGGGTGATGGAGACTGGAGAAGGTCACCTTCACAACCCTGGTATTGGGCCACACGAGACTCTGTTTCAACAACACCAACAAAAAAGCTAAATTCCCAATGAAAGCAGGATAATTTACCTTTTAAATGTTTGAGATGCAGATCTCAGGATACAGACCAGGCTGGCCTAGAACTCACAGAGATCTGTCTGTCTCTGTCTCCCAAGTGGCCCAATTCACCTTTGGAATTCATATTTTTTATACTTGCCTATCTAGTACAAGACTTTGTACTTGTACAGAAGAAAGAAGTAATTATGCAACTGTCTTGTCAGATCTGATTCTGACAGTCTGGGAAAAAAGAAATGTTTACTTATCTTACTGAAGCCATCCATCAACTGTCAAAGACAGATGAAAAGCCTGGCACCCACAGCCTCAGTCCCCACTGGCTGAGTGTGTGATAGCCACATCTCAGACAGCAGAGAAAGGGATCCCTTCCCCCTTGTTAAGGTTTTGGAGCTGAAGATCTGGGGCAGGACTAACAAATGATAGCCAGCTGAGCCAGCGGACCTACCGCTCACACACAGGTCATCCCGTGGGCCATGCACTGTAAGGCTCTAGTGCTGGAAACCTGACCTTAGAACTTCGAATCTCCTCTTTGGAGGTGCCAGAACCCTGCTACTTTATGGTCACCTCAGGACCCACTGGGCAAGGCATGGGGGGGCCCTCCCAGGAAGCTGCTCACACCGTTGGTGATTGAACTTTGGGCACAGAACCTGATACTTGTCTTTTGAGCCCAGCTCCAAAGTTGCTGCGAAATGCAGACATATCCTGGATTAGTTGAGGATGTCCTCAAGGCCAAAACTTCCTCTCCGGATAATGGAAATTACAGGGTTGTTTTCAGTCTTTTTTTTTATCTGTGGGTGTTTTGCATGTATGTATGTCTAGGCACCACGAGTGTGTGTGGTGCCTGAGAAGCCAGAGAAGGTGATGGATCTCCCAGAACCAGAGTTACAGATGATTGTGAGCTGCTGTGTGAGTCCTCTGGAAGAGCAGCCAGTGCTCTTCAGCTCTGAGCCATCTCTCCAGCTCTGGAAATTACAATCGTTGTGCCTTCCCTTACGGGAAAAGAGAATCTGCCAGTAGTTAGTCTTGATCACATTTGTTAGTATTCAGACACCTGTACTGGCCTGCCCATGGGGTTCCAACAGGATACGCCCTCAGCTGCAGCCACTAAGGGCACCACCTGTGCCTGTTCACCATGTTCCCTCTTAAAAGGGCCCCACCCACCACCCATCCTCCTCTCTCTCCCTCTGTCTATTCATTCCCCCCCTCTCAGCCATTTTTCCTCTCCTGCTGCTCCTGTCTCCAGAGGCTGGTCTCCCCGCTCCCCTTTTTAGGATCCCTTCCCCTGATTAAAAACAAAACAAACAAAAACAAAAAACCTCTCTGCTTGAACCCTTTCACATTCGTGTGCTGCTTTTCTTAAATTATAACAACATCTTTTCATAGTTTGTTTTGTCATGTAAACTTGGAGTTTAGACAGTGTGGAGCATCCATTTTCTTTTGTTTGGTGCTGGCGAATTTTATGTCTGGAATCCTTTATCCCTCGTATTGAATAACTTGAGTACAGCAAATGAAATTCCTTTGCTAAGAGGTTAATAACACATAGAGCCTTTAGATTATCATTTACCTGAGTGAACAGTAAACTTGCTGGGTACAGAGTGTGGTTCCCATGGTGATGCATTGTAGGGATTGCTCCAAAGAGATGACTGAGTTCATCTGAGTCAGGGGATATGGTTGTTCCTTGGTGCCTAGGCTTCCTCTGGTCAGTAGATGCGGCATCAGGAAAGCTGCTGTCTGCCCCCAGCCTCTCCAATTCATTTCTCTGAGAGCCCAGAAGTCATTCTGTCATGACACAGGCTCCTCTAACTTTTCTTCAGGGTGCTGTGGGGAGGGGTGTCTATCTCTCTGTAGTTCTCCAAATTGTTTCCAAAGGCCTCTATCTGCACCCAACACACTCAGTAGTGTCCATCTCTGGAGTCCACAGTCCTTTTACTGATAGTACAACAGAAACTGCACAGTGCCAAACCCACTGGGCACCTACTGTGTGCTGGGCATGTGCTACTGTGTCCTTATATCATAATCTGAGTACAAATCGGGTGGTGGTGGTGGCAGGGCACGCCTTTAATCCCAGCACTCAGGAGGCAGAAGCAGGCGGATCTCTGTGGCTTCGAGGCCAGCCTGGTCTACAGAGCGAGTGCCAGGATAGGCTCCAAGGCTACACAGAGAAACCCTGTCTTGAAAAACCAAAAAAAAAAAAAGAGTACAATTGACAGAGGACAGACTCCGAGTCTACAAAGTGCATCCTCAAGCCCATTTTAGCCTATCCTGTGAGAGATGCTGCCTTATTTTTTCTTTTGGTTGTGAGCCTAACCCTTAACGGCTGAGCCATCTCTCCAGCCCGAGAGATACTACATTTTTTATTTCCTTTGTTTTTTTTTTTTTTTTTTTTTAAAACTTTTTTCTTTAAATACCCCTTTCTACATAGCCCTGGCTGTCCTGGAACTCTCTGTGTAGACCAGACTGTCCTCCAACTCACAGAGATCCACCTGCCTCTGCCTACAGAGGGCTGGGATTAAAGAGATGTGCCACCACTGGGATGCACCACCACTGCCTAGCAACTTTGCGTCTCTTAGGTAAATTTCTTTTCTGAATTTGGTAACAAGGGAAGCTAGTCTTCAGTTTCCATCAGAGACCTGAGAAGGATTTATTACCTAAGTAAACAGGAAGTGCAGAGCAAGCAACTTCCAAAACTAAGAAACAACAGAGACATCTGGCTGCCTGGACAGTCACCCCAAGGTTCCCCTGCAACATTGGGGCATCCATCTTCAGCCCATGGGCCTAAAATATCTGACAGACTTTTCTGTGGATTAGGAATTTTGAAGCAGTATCCTAACTTGTCTGGGCAAAGTTTGGCAGTTGTCTTATGTCCTGCTTATCCAATTTGGACAACATTCTGTCAGCAGTTGAGGCAAGGGCAGATTCTTGCCCAAATGGCTAGCTTTTGCCACGAAGAAAGCAAACTCCATATGGAGGTTCTTTGATGCCCATCATCTTCTCTGAAGTAAATTGGTGCTGTTAAGAGCAGATATTTCTCACAGTCATGAAAATACTTATGTTATTATTACATATTGAGTGCCATATTCTGTAGGTCTTTGAAGTATTTGAAGATCACCTATCTAACAAATTTTATATTTATTTATTTATTTATTTATTTATTTTGAGACAGGGTTTCTCTGTGTAGCTTTGGAGCCTATCCTGGCACTCGCTCTGGAGACCAGGCTGGCCTCGAAGTCACAGAGATCTGCCTGCCTCTGCGTCCCGAGTGCTGGGATTAAAGGCATGTGCCACCAATGCCTGGCCAACTATCTATCTAAATGTATCTCTGTATGACCTTGAAAACATATCTATGTTTTCATGACTATAAGTTTGTTATAGATGACTATTTGTCT